CCCCCCCCCCCCCCACCCCCTCCTTTCCCCGTCCCACCCATCCTCCCTGCACACTGCCAACCACAAACCTTCAAAATGGTCGTCATAATGACACAATCATATGATCTGCTGCTTTGTTCACAAACTAGTCATTTAAAAGAGCTTGTTGTAAAAACGCACGGATGGATCCCGGCTTTTCTTGGTGTCAGTTTCTTTTATAGGTTGGTACCGGGAATGCGGTATTATACTATACACGAATGACATCGATTTTGCTTTTTTCATCGAAGAGTACTATAAAACATTAGAAAGCGATCTTCTGAATTGTCCTCTTCTGAAGCTTAAACGACGACTGAACAAAGTAATTTTATAATTTCCACTATAATTAAAAATAGTAATCAGTCCAGTTGATTATGATTTGTCGCGACAATTGAGGGGTGAAGAAGAGAAGAGAAATGAGATTAACAATACGGACTAAAGGATATGCTAATATAACCGTAACGAAAAGATTGATAGATTGTAAACTTCTCGCTACTCTTCCCTGTCAATTTTGACTGTAAGCTACAAATTGATTACATAATTCCCAATGAAATGAACTAAGACATCACAATTTGACTGCATAAAGTAGATTGATTGATTCGTTTATAAACCTCAGTGCTTTTTTATGCATTTTATCTCCAACAGTAGCACAAGATGCATACCAAGAAATTCCTGCCGGCCTGTATATGCACGTATGTATATTTGTATGTATTTGTGTATATTATCTAAGATTTTCAACTCAGAAGCCAGAAAGGCTGAGAAATTTTGTGATGATATTCTACATCTATATGCAATCGAAAGATTCCAAATTCAGTTTCACGTACGCTTCAGTTTCACGTATGCGCACGCGAAACTTTTGGCAGAAATCATTAACTCCGGAACCAAGCAAGATAGAGTGCCGAAGTATGAGAAGAGCGTTTCCTATCAGTGTGAGATTACACGAATTTAAACTCTCTTTTCAAATGCCTCTATGTCACAAATACGAAAGCGTGAACGTTTGTAGAGTCATTTGTTAAAAGAACGAGTAATTTAGGAGAGGGTAGTTAAATATATATGGTATTCGCATGTAACTCTACCCGATAGCATCGACGACTTCAGGACCTGTATCTCCAGGTGAAATTGTCAAAAAATTGTCACTTATTTAAGGCGAAAAACCCTTAGAGCAACGGTTTTTTTCGAAGCGCTTTCAGGTAAATCATTCTTTTTAGCCAGAAAACTTGTTGGAATATCAAACAATGATAAATGGATATTCAATGGATATTTTTTTTCTGTATCACAATAAAAGAGGTTCTTGGGTTGGAGGCTTGGGTGGCCGAGACAAGTACATGTAAGCCTAAATTTCATGCTAATTTCATTTATTTCATGATTTTAACGAGTCCGTGGATAATGTACATCGGCTAATCCATAAGTACATTTACCCACTTTCTTTTTTCTTGCTCTTTATATCTTAGACAAAATTCGGACTCAGACGCTTCATCCTGGTGCGGGAGTGGCAGCAGCGGGATACAAACCGTGACAGCTATAAGCATATCGAGAAAACACTGTCTCGCGTTTTGTTCACTTAAGTTTAAGCGGTATGTTGATATCAGCTTGACCAACGGTTAATTTAGTAAAGGGCCAGTTATGATACGTAAAGTTTATTTGACAGTTTAAAGTCCCAATAACTTATTCGCGGCAATGTAACAAAATTAAAATCAAAAAAGATGAAGGCGGAAAATCCAATAAAGGGTTTTCTCACAGTATTTTGCTTTCGTGACAATTTTTTTGTCTTTGTGACAATCTGACATATGTGAGTCTTTTTTTTTGCAGGTGGTCATATCCTACAGTAATCAATCGAATCTGTGCAGCGGATTTACTGGGATATTTGATGTATGTGCCCTGTAGTCCACTCGATGTTATCAAGGTATGCAAAATTTTTGAGTTCATAATGGATTGAGGGTTTGAGTTTTCATTGCTTATTTCATAATAAGATATATTTGCTCAGCAACAACAAAGGTGTCCGAAAGCGTTTTTAGAGTGACTATGGCGCCGAATGGAAAAGACCGATATCAAAAGTACCATGGGAGCAGCCACATAACAGGCGTTATGTTGGCAGATACAGGGTTGGAGAAATGAAAGATGCTAATGTCATTTTTGGTTAGCAATCCCAGATGTGCTAAGGATGATACAGGAATTCAAGTCCATTTTGCAAAACATGGATTGAGAAAAACTCTTCGGCAGCTTGGAAGTCCGTACGCAAGATTTAAACCGAAGGCAGTACTC